ATTCATATTTAACAGCCCACTTATCATTATTTCAGGCAACTCTACACAGGGAACACGTCTTTTTGGTCTTTTGCGAAAATGTGTGCACATTGGTGTATACTGTAGTGAAAATAAGTGATGAGATTTCGCACGGAAAATCGGATCCTCGGCTTGAGAGTGATTGGGAGACGCTTTGCTTGTTAGTTCTCTTCTCCTACAGAAAATTCATGAAGTCACATATTGTCCCAACAGAATTCTGCAGGAAATTTTCTCTTTTACTTCCCGTTTCTGTGCTCGAAACGCGGTTTTCAGGTTTTTGACAGCATCTAGGACCGCAAACAATTCCAAGAAGTATCTGAATAGATTGAAAGATACTTTGGAACTCATTATAGTGCGTTACTCTCGAATTCAAATCCAAAACTAAGATAATTTATTTTTCCCAATCAGATACACTTAAATGACTATGTGCCTGATGCAACATTTCGCTCTAAATCCTCTCACGAAGGAGGGGATATTCAACAAGCACCTTGCAAGATTTTTCGATTTCAGTATGGCGCATATCGAAAAGTCATTAGAATATAAATTCTAGACCAATTATGTAGTCTATTTATCGAATCTCTGAATGAATAATACATTACCTTGGTTGACGAAAAAGACATTGGAATGGTGTGCCTTTCCACTATCCACTGTAAGTCCTTGCGTTCATTGTGGTGGAACGAAACGTTTCCAATCTTTAGAAATTCTATCTAGGCTGCTCGTGAAAGGAAATCAGTGTATCATCCAGTCGCGCCGTAATCGACAAATAGAGTAAACCTTTCTTGTTGAAGCATGAGATGTGCTAGCCGGGAGGAATCGATGGGCCATATGGCATGGCCTTACGTTTAGTGAGATTTGTGGATATGTATAACCTAGAGCTCATACATAATTCAATGACAAGTCTTTTGACAAACAGAGCTCACTCTCGCGCTTATAACCATTCTCATTAAGCCTTTTGTTGAAAGAATGGTAACATAATGGGCGAACTGAAAAAACTGGAAAATATGAACAAAAAAGGATATTCCATCCAGATATGTCCCTGGCAGGAGTCGAGCCTGCGTCTTCACGAATTGCTGCTACTCGAGCCACAACGTGATGATCTAACCACTAATCGACGGGGACCTGAATACTTCTTATGTCATTTTGTATACAACAACAATTCGAAAATCATATCAAGTTCTCAAGGCAAAAATCGAATTATAACAAAAGTCGCTATCTATTTCTTTGACTTCCGCTGCTTCACCTGCCTCGCAGTAGCTGTTGAGCCTGACGCAGCAGCAGTTGAAGGGACACTAGTATCCGCAACAGGTGCTGCTACTGCGTTATGAGTGTTATTTAATGCCGCTTGGCCCTTTACTTCATCTTTCTTCGTTGGTCGATGTAGCAGATGAATGATAAACGAAGCCAAACTTCCAGACGCAATGTACATTATCCATCCGGGGACCTTGATCACGACGTTGTAGAATTTCATCAAAACTAGCGCCATGTAATGGAGAATGTATTCACTGAAGATGTATGGCTAAATCAGAGATGAGGAAAATGACTCGAAGATAAGTACGAACTTGCTACCACCCGGAGCGAAAGAGCTATCCCAAGGAGGGAGTTCATTGAACATTCCGGTAGTGAGGAATGTGCGCAGGGCGCCTTCATGAAGACGCAGCCACTGAGGCTTAACGAATCGAAGCGTCTGACCACGGTTCTGTAGAATAACGAACGTCGGCGCTCTGTGATCAAAGCGAACTGTAAGTCACGGCAGACGAGGTCGCATGTAGTACGCACTGCCAAACACCCCACTTAGTTGTTAAATACGTGACATTGAGATAATCAATACGACCCCAGCGTAAGTCGGGTAAGTCCCCAGCTGTTAAAGTTTCGTTGTAGGTCTCGTCGAATATCCTGTCTACGAACTGAGATATTCCTCCTCCTTTGTTGGTTGCGCTTGTTGAGCTGAGGATATGGAATTCAGGAATCAGAGAGAGCCTTCAGTCAATCAAATTCATCGAAAAAAAGACGACAGTCGTACACGACAATTAACCATGTCCTGTTCCTCTCCTCCTCCAGCGTGAGTTCCTCATCAACAATCATGTCATCAAAGTTCGTGTCTGTAATTAATGGGATTCGTGGATCCCACGGATACGCGGCCTTGGATGATAGACCAACAGTTGAAGCAATGCTGGAAATATTCACGCCGGCTTTAGCAAATAACGATGAAATCCAAGGAGAATTCAGAATTCCGTCTACGCTGAGTTGCTGGCTTTTCTGTGAATCATCACTGTGTCCAGTTCCTGATAGTACTCCTGTGGGTAATGGCGCTGAAGATTCGCTGGTGACAGCTTGTCCGGGTTTCCAGCCTTCAGAGAAGTATTGGCCGTTTACAGCAAAAGACAAGGAAATCAAAGAAAGCCAGAAGACCTTCATGGTGGTGGAACCCAGATAAGGTGGTGGATGCTGCTTATCATTGTTGATTTATTGAACAGGCGCCGAGCGCGTTTAGGCGTCCGAAACTTTTGTCATATATACTGATCACTATCATTGAGGTACTGTACATCGATGTTCAATTCGAGGAAAATATTTGACTTATTCATTGCTTTTTCTAGCTGTAACAATACATGTGGTCACCTTTAGATTTCGAGTCCAGCTAGGGGTGTGTTAACATGGAGGTGGTTGTTGACTTGGACATGGTCGAAAAACTTGAGCTTCACGTCTGGCCCAAATATGAGCGCATGGGACGAGCCACCAAAGTGGAACATCCCGATCTCGTCACCGACGAAGACCCTATCATCTTTCTTAACAGTGATATCGCAAGTCGACACTTCTACCATCCCAACACCAACGAATACGATAAGCCCAATGTCCTTGTTGTCAGCCTCGATGTAGATGACGGCACGTGTGGCGGCTACGGTGAGCCAGGACTGGGAGCGGATAATAGCACCCCGAGGGTCACCCGGTTGGAAATCGGGATCAGACTGTCCAGCTCCATCGTCGGGTAGCGCGGCATAGTACGTTCCTGGAATGACTTGTACTGAGTGAATAGTACCATCCACCGGGGAATGCCAACGGTGATAGTCCTGTGGAGAAAGGAATGCCTGATAGACAGTCCCACCGATGAAGGAACGGGCAACTTCGTCGTCGCGGCGCCCCAGTATGTCGTAGATGGAGTAAGGCTGGCCCTTGAGCCAGAACTGGTCGTGTTCTTTGATGTTTGTCTGTTTTCCATAAACGGTGGACTCGCAAGCGTTATAGATAAAAACGAATGGAGGGTCCGGTTTTGGGATCGGGCGCGCGTTAGGTTTGAACTTTCGAGTGAAGAAAGCATCCCATGAAGCGAAACCACGGTTGGGCGCAGCATAATCGGGACACTCGTAAATCTCGTTGAATATGCCGCGATTCTTTTCGAGACTCGCTAATCCAAGCTTGCCAAACCAGCCCTCGTCACTCTCATTCAGTGTATTATTGGAATTTGCACCCTGGAGGTAATCACCCCAAACGTTCAACAAGTCCTTCAAAGCAGTGTTTAATTTCACCTTGCGCAAGAGGTCGTAACCCGCACCCGTGTTACTGAGGAGGTCGAACAGAAGGTACAAAGGGACACCAACAGGCTCTCCGCCGATTATTTCGCCGCCGTTCTCGTCTCTGTTGACCTGAAATTTCGGCGCCGCGACAATGATTTGATCCATGCAATAGAGCAGTTCATCGAAGGTTTTGATCTAACATATATGCAGCGTTGAGTATTCAGGAGGTAAACGCAGAGGGGATAAGGAATTACCCTGCTTTGAGGGGAAACTTGAAGAAAGGTCTGCTCAAACAAATCAACCAGTTCGGGATCGGCATCGACAGCATCCTTGAAGACTTGGACTGCCGGGTTATGAGCCTTCCCAACGTCGATCGTACGCAGGAGATCATCAAAAAATGCTTTATAAACCGCGCGATCAGCTGGAATCCATCCACCATAGCGCGTCAAGACTGTCTGCTTAGAGGGTAGAGGATGCTGATTTTGCGGTGGCATTGTCCTGGAAAAATAAACTTAGTGGGCACGCTCGGAGCACAAAACAAGACCAGCGTACGGAGTATGAACTGTTATATCGAGTTCTGAGTGACATTGTACATGCTATGGTCTCTCTTTTATAAGAAATCCAAAATATGAGTAGACTAATGTGGCCCAATGGTTATGAAATCTCCATTAAGATTGGAGTGCGCAATGATGAAATTCCGACAGAGGCAAACAGTTAGAATGTTCTTGTGTTATCTGACATTGCAGGTCTTCTAGAGAAGTTGCTCGTACTTGAGTTTCTTTGCATCCGATGTCAATGGGCTCACATAAAACATACGACAATACGAAACCAGATAGAGAGATTTATACGATGAGCACATGAGTTGAGTTCTGCACTCGCAGCTGACGGGCATTTGACGAGCGTCCACAGAAGCACCCCACTTTTCCGAGTTTCTTGTCAACTTTCAAGGGGACATACCTTCAAAGAATGTACTTATCAGATGGCTAGAATCTTCTCAACGAAGTTAGAAGCAGAACTTGAACGTCAACTTTCTAGTGTATAGATTTACACTGCACCACTAGCCTCCATAACACACGGACGGAGTAAACGGCATTCAAACGACATTCAGTAGGGAAATTGCATAGTACATGCTTCCAGGAAAGATAGAGCGGCTCAAGTTCGCGATGCATTCGAAATGCTACATTGACTTGAACACGAAGGTGTGGCGTCGAATAACACTGGTCACGGTGGCCCCAATTGTAAACGAGTTGCCCCTGAACGATAGGAGGAGGATGTATTGGAAGCTCAGCACTAGTGACAGACGAATACGAACTTGAGGTCATTTCCAACCCTTTAGTCTAATATCTTGATAGCCATGTCGCGGTACCACTTTGTGAACGCAATACTTGACGAGTGGCTCCAAGTGTACAAATTTCTGAAAGGTAAAATCCCCTGACGTTGAGAAACTTACTCGTTGACTTTCCAGCACTTCAGACTGGCTTTCTCGATAAATTGACAAAAGACCTTGACCTGGGTGGAAACCAAAAGTTCAATGAACTTTGATCCTGAACTCTCACCTGGTCCGTAAACTCCCACGGTTCTGAACCGCGGAGAAAAGGGAACTACAGAGAAAATAGTCAATAAGTAGGCATAAAACAAAACTCACCCACATGATGGGAGATCTGGCAAGCTTGAGCAAGCGAAAAAACCCTCCCGACCCCGGGAGAGACATCGAAACAACGCCGAAAGGCACCAGAACCAAAAGCATCCACACATCCTCCCCACCCTCACCTTCACCAAATCCACTGAATTACAAGAACTCAGCGGCCGAACGTGCCGCATCGAGAAGAGACGGCAGGTTCGACCCAATCAAATCAACAGCAACGAGCAACACCGGCATCCCACGAAGGAACGAAAACTCAACTACATCAACGTCGTCTCGGCGGAATGGAAGAGAGAGCCAGCAGTCAACATACTCGGAGCCCGGCCCAATGGACCAGGACCAAGAGTGGTACCAGGGCGACTTCCAAGTCGACAGAGGACTTTTCACAGAACAAACGTGGAACGTAGCACCACAGAGCGAATCAGAACCACTAACCGCCAAAATCTTCTTTGCCATGGACCAGCTGGTAATAGACCTGCGGAGAGCGTTACAAGAAGGAAGCCTACCGTCGAACTTCGACGAGCAAATCGGCCAAACAGGGGCACAACTGGTGAACATCCTGACACAAATCGGGGTCAAAGGGAAACACGAAACAAACGATAAGTTAAGTCGCGCTATAAACAAACTAACCGAATCTTTCGCAGAAGCTCGTAGAACCGATTCGGCACGCCTAACCGAGATAGAAAAAAGACTCCAGATAGAGAGGACCGACAATGCCACGCCGAACTGGGCAACAGAATCATACGCAGCCAAAGCGACGGTAAGGGCCAACCAGACGCTACGCACCAACAACGTGGACAAACGAAGCACCGCAAAACCGGACAAGGAGGACGGGCGCGCAGCGCAGTTCGTGGTCCACTTCGGAGAGGTAATACCAGACGAAATGCGTAAGGACTCATGCTCCATAACAAGGGACATTAACACTTTTATAGAACTACACCCGAACCTGGGAAAGACCCGAGTAGCCA